CAATCCCTCTCTTTGATAGCAAAAAGACAGTTATAGACTTAGACATTTCTTTTTCTTTTTGTCATCCAGGCAACTCTTTAGCTATTGTTTTTAAATTAAGAAATAAAAAATGGTGGTGGTGTTGGTGTTAAATCTTATCGTGCCTCTCTCTCATTTTGTTGTTGTTGTTGTTATGTGCCGTCGAGTCAGACCTGGGTTTCCAAGGCGGTATCACTGTGGAGGTAGATTGCTCAACCTTCCGAGGAATGGTGGTTCAAACCCACCAGCCTTCTGGTTAGCAGTCAAGTGCCTTAGGCACTATGCTACCAGAGCTCCCTCTCATTTTGTTAGAGTTAATAAAAAAATGTGAAATATGGAAACTCACATTTTATTTCCTGGTAATTGCTTTATTCAAATCACCAAATGAATAATATTATTCACTACACTCTAAATATTAATCTTGCATCTTCACAATGTGACTTAAGAACATTCATCAACTGGAGCTTTGACCTCACCTCTCTATTATTTTAATGAAAGCTTTTTATTCCCAATTAAATCAGAGAGAAAAATGGCCGTATAGATAAAATTTCAAAGCTAGAAGAAAGGGACTAGAAGGCATATTTAGCCTGTCTTCCCTCAATTTATAGATAAAAGAGGTCCCCAAAGATTTTATAAGGTCACACGGGTGGCTAGTGGCAAATACAGCCTTATACACCATGGCCCCCAAATTCCAGGCATTTCTTTTTATTACTCTACCCAGCTTTTCTCAATATTTATATCATATTAGGACATAATGTGAAATACTCTGAACCACTTTTTTATATTCCATTTTTTTCGTCATTGCTGATAGACTTAAATTGCCATCACCTTGTAGAGAATCACAAAGTTGGTAAATTCCAGAATAAGGAGATGGGGGTTCTTGTTCAGCAAAGATTATGGAGCAAGCTTCCCATATATATCAGTTGTGTTTTGCTTGGTAAGTAGGAAGGTTTGATGAAAGAGAACCTCTTTAGACAAAGAAGAGGGCTCTGTGAGCAAAGAGAGGAAGGAACCTTAAGAGCAAGTAGCATGTACGTGCTGAAAGTAATGGAAGCCAGTGTGATGATTGCAAAGGTCCTGTGGCTTTTACACTCTGGATTAGCTGTAGTTCTTATGTATAGGAAAAGAAAACTTTCAGAAGTTAACTCAGTGAAGGAAAATACTTTTTCTCTTCACTGATTTGACTTTAAAAGTTTTGTGAAAATTAATTTTCAAGTGTTTTTCTTTGCATTGGGCTTCTGGGAAGGAAATGAAACTTGTGTAATCCATTAGTTCCAATCTTTTTTCTTAAAAGACTAAAGGAGAGAATATGGATACCAAAAACCCACAGCGTCAAGTTGATTCCAACTCATAGAGACCCTATAGGACAGAGTAGGATTGCCCCTGAGAGTTTCCAAGGCTGTAAATTTTTATGGAAGCAGACTACTGTATTCTCCCATGAAGTAGATGGGAGGTGGTTTTGATGTGTGTAGATGGCTGGTGGGTTTGAACTAGCAATATTTTGATTATGAGCTGAGTACTTTAACCACTGTAACACCAGGACTCCTTGACTTATGGACAGTAGTTTAAATTATAAATAGGCCCTTTCCAATCTTAGGAACTTTTCCATCTTAGAGACATTTTTTCCCTTTTCCAAAAAATGTGGGGCTATCTACTCATAGCCATCAAGTGCCAAGGCAAAATACATGGTATCTGACACAGAAATAACCATGGGTCTATTCTTGGGCACTGCAGCCCTGTGATCAGACAGAGTGACTTTTAGTCAAATCTAGATACCATGTTGCTATGCCACCTTCTTGCCACTGAACCCTATAACTAAGCATTTTTGTTTTATAAAATTACAGAATGGATGCTGTTTGGTAAGGTATTTTGTCCTATTTTAGTACTTATAGTTCATTTAGCAGATGACTCTTACTTGATTTTCTCACATACTCATTTCATTTTCTTTTTATGGTTTTGTATATGACAAAGTGAATACTTTCATTGTCATTGTAGGAACAATTATCCATCCCCACTCAGTATAGCCTGTCTTGCTTTCAAGAAATCACTTCATTCAGTCCACACTGGACAGAGATCTGACACTTTACACTTTATGTACGTATATAGGTTGGCAGTGCAGAGTTTATGGAAGCTCAATTAGGAAAACAAAACAAACAAAAAAACAAACTCACTGCTGTCAAGTTGACCCGACTCATAGTCATCCCTCCAAGGGTTTCTGAAGCTTTATCTCTACAGAAGTAGATTGCCCAGTCTTCCTTCCGAGGAGTAGCTGGTGGGTTTGAACTGTGAGCTTTCCGGTTAATAGTCAAAGCCTTAGGCACTACGCCATCAGAGCACCTCAAGGCCACTGTCAATTAAGGATTGGTTTTAAAAGTGTTCTGCCTAAACAGATCTGAAGCCTTCTTTTACCAAGAGAGCAAATATAAAATAGTTCAAAAATTGAGGTAAGACATGTAGACAGTTACATAAAACGTGGATGAACTTGGAGGACATTATGCTGAGTGAAATAAGTCAATCACAGAAAGACAAATATTGTATTAGTTCATTATTGTAAAAAGTCAAGGAAAGGTTTGTATGTGGAAGGAAACTTTCTTTGCCAGTTACCAAGGGGGAGAGGGGAGGAAACACTACAGAAATAAAAAAAACTTAAAAAAAAAAAAAAAAAAAAAAGACATATAGACAGTTATATAAGATAGGGATTGTGAATATCATTTGAGTCATCAACATTTTCATAAATTGTCTAATTAATTAGTAAAGTGATAGAACCTGTGCCACGTATTGTCACTCATAAAAAGATACTTGCATTTTTATGAAATGGAGACTCATGGAATACTTGCAAATTTTCCCTAATAAAATGGAAACCTTCAAAGCGAGATTCTGTTCTCGTTGTTTTTGTTTGTTAGGTGTTGTCAAGTTGGCTCTGACTGATGCTACCCTATGTACAACAGAACGAAACACTGCCCAGTTGTGTGCCATCCTCACAATCCGTGCTATACTTGAGCCCATTGTTGCAGCCACTATATCAATCCATGTCATTAAGGGTCTTCCCCTTTTGCACTGACCCTCCACTTTACCAAGCATGATATGCTTCTCTAGGGAATGGTCCCTTCTCACAACATGACCAAAGTAGGCGAGATGAATTCTGGCCATTCTCACTTCCAAGGAACATTCTAGTTGCACTTCCTCCAGGACAGATCTGTTTGTTCTTCTGGCATTCCATGGTATTTTCAGTATTCTTTGCCAGCAGCACAATTCAAAGGCATCTGCTCTCCTTCCATCTTCTTATTCATTGTCCAGCTTTCACATGAGTATGAGGTGATTGAAAATGCCATGGCTTAGGTTAAGTGCACCTTGGTCTTCAAAGTGACCCTATTCTTACTCATCTTTATATTCCCAGCACAGAGCTTGGCATATAGTAGGCAGTGAATGTTTATTGAACGAATACATGAATGAATGACTGAAAATCATTTCTTAGAAAGATCATTTGAAATGAAGAGATCAAAATGTTTCCTTTAAATAGAAAAGTACATGCCTTTCCATGCTTTATGTTTCACTTTGAGAAGGAAATGGATTTTTTTTCCTGAATATTTAGAAACACACTTAAAAATTGCTTTCTTCATTAAAAATATATGTATTATACACACTTTTAATATCACAGTTAATTTATATATGCTTTCAAAGAAACAATCCCTCTAATAAAAGAAAAAAAAAATCACCATTAGCTTCCATGACAACTATTTTTCAATAGTTTAAAAAATGAGATGTAGTGCTTTCAGTCCGGAGTGTGCATGTGTATGTTTGTTTGTGTATATGTGTCTAGAATGGTCTACTGCCAAAGTCCACTTGGTCTAGATTAATTAAAACTGGAACAGAAATACTTTCATTTTCCAGAATAATACTAATTCATTTATTGATTTCTTTTCTGTACTGATACTGTTTTAAAATACCACATATATGATATTTAGCTGCGATTCTAATCAAAGATAGGTTTTATAGTTATTTGGGAAGCAATGTGATTCTGTTGGCTTTTGACATGACTGTGAATTTGTTGTTTATATGTCCCTGGCACACCAGTATTCTTGTTAAATATTTTTTACCAATATGAAAACCACAGAAATTTATTAGTTTGGCTTTTGACCTTGGTATCTTCTTTGCTATGTATTTTGAGTTTGTTACTTTTCACCTTGTTAATCAGTACCTTTGTGTCCTTTCTCCTCTAGTAATCCTTTAATCAAGTACCCTAGAGAGGTTTGGAAATATTTACTGAGCGAGTGCATACAGAATCTCAGCAGTGGACTACAAAGTCTACCCCCCATTTATAGTTTCTTTTTGTGGAGAGTTGGTGGCATAAATGGTGGAAAAGAACATTTGGGAGTCCTGTGACTAAATTAGCTATCTCCTGAAGAAATCAAACAAAAGAGTATCTAGGAATCAATTGTAGAATGTCACCAGGGCTGTTAGTGCCTTTGAGATGCTCAGTTGAAACTAAATATGCTTATTTTTATATTACCAAAATGATTATTAAAACAAAACAAAACAAAACTCACTGCCATCAAGTCGATTAGACTCATAGCAATCCCTTCTTGGATTTCTGAGGCGGTATCTCTCCAGAAGTAGATTGCCCAGTTTTCCTTCTGCAGAGTGGCTGGTGGCTTTGAACCACTGAACCACCAGCTTTCTTAGTAGCAGTCAAATCCCTTAGGTACTATGCCACCAGAGCTCCTAGCTAAAGACTAGCATGTTGTTCTAAGATATAAATGATCTGTTATAGAAGGCTACAAAGTCCCCCTGCATTAACAATAAAATAGAACTAGATTCCAAGAGAAGCTTTGAGCACCTGGACTCAGAGATTCTAGTTGCCAGAATGAAGGCTGTGACTTAAACAGCAATGAGTAGAGGTGAGAAATATCCCAGCCTGTCATTTATTTTGTGCTAACTCTTATGAAACTTCAACACTCACCAAATGTTGTTCTTCTTGGCAGGTGGAGTGGATCCAACAGCAAGTGGTGAAAAAGCGGACGAAGAGGGATTATGACATCAGTCGTGCCCAGTCAACTTACTTCAATGATCCCAAGTGGCCAAGCATGTGGTATATGGTAAGCTCACAAAGAGGATCCCTAGCCTATTGTATAGGGATTAGCTAGGACTGGAAACTCACTGAAATGCTGACCAGGGACTTTTTCTATTTCAAGGTCCACCATTTGAGGCGGGTTGTGTGTGTGTGTGTGTGTTATGTGCCGTCGAGTCAAACCCGACTCATAGCGACCCCTCCTTGGGTTTCCGAGGCAGTATCACTACGGAAGTAGGATTGCCCAACTTTCCTTCCGAGGAGTGGCTGGTGGGTTTGAACCGCCAGCCGTCTGGTTAGCAGGCAAGTGTCTTAGCCACTATGCTACCAGAGAT